CGCATATTTCCGAGCGTGACGCACCTTGGGCGCTGGGCTTGGCTCGATGAGAATCGCCTTAACGTATACGGATTGACTTCTTTTCTTTTTTGGTTACTTTTTCTACGTGATCGTTATCGTGGAATGCCAATAATCGATATCTATGGCTGAGTTTATCGGAAATCATTATCATCTGTACAAGCGGGCGGTGAGGCTCGCTAGTGCGCGAGTCTCTACGCCAATGAAAATTCACGTTGTAGTCAATGAACTTTGTTACTCCATATTGTTGTACAAATATTTATGATTGATGTATATATATATATGTATATACACGCACGCGTGTACGCATATGTAAATTGATAACCAATGTAAACTCGATTTACTTCTCAGGCGTTTCTATGTGCCGCGTCGTATCGATACTAAATGGCGTAAGACGTACTTGGCTGGATGTATATATATATATATATATATAAATATCCTACTTATACCGTATGCACCGTATACTGCATATAGACTATAGACGGGTATGTGTATATTTCTATATAAACTGCGTGTACTTCAGCCAGAGACGGGCTGGCCTCGTGCACGCTTACATAAAAGGGAGACCCGAGGACTCCGATATCGCTCGAAAGAAACTGCGGTAACGCGCTCGTTACCTGCCGGCTTCATCTCTCCCTTCTCATTTCTTCCTTCTTCTCGTCTCTTAGTATTCGCTCTCTCTCTCTCTCTCTCTCTCTCTCTCGCGCTCATTCTCTTCACGGCACAAGAGTCACCGCTCGTTCCCTCGTCATTCCCATAGACGACGCAGACTTCCGTTTCAACGGTCGAACACCATTTTTTGGCTGTACCACATCCTTTTTGCTTCTCTCTCGCTCTCGCGCGTACGCAGCCATTATATTTCTATATTTCTCCATCCTCGTCATACATTCGCCGGTTATCCTTACTTTTGCGAGAAATTCACTCGCGCATACCTTTCACACCCGTTCTCGCAGTACCCGATCGTTGCGTCTTGCAGATGCTGTAACGTCGGCCGATAAGCTATACGGCTCGAGATAAGGATCCCTTCGTCCTATCCCTAACTGCCTAATCAAACTGACACCGCGTTCCTGCATCCTTCTGATTTTTGTTAGCATCCAACTTTTTCGTTACGTATATATAAAGAAATATGAAAATCCTACTGGACAATCCCACGTGGCACTTTCTTTGCCTACATTGGAAATCAATTTTCTTTTTTTTTCTTTCGTTTTTGAAAATATATTGCTCGACTGTTTACGCGTGCGATGACGCTATTTGTACTTGACCGATTTTGTGTTTACGGTCGATATAACCGGGGGGGGGGGGGC